TTACTCAACAACGGAATAATATTTTCCAAAACCGATATGTAACTTTTTTCGTGCTATTATGGCGAGTAGAATGATATAAAAATATTGGCTTCATCTTCTATCTAGAGAGACTTGAAGTTTTTTGCGCTAGCATGAACGGGCTTTTGGCTATTGGTGAAAAACTAAAAAGTTTTTAGGTCATATCATTATCGAAACATTATTTTTCAGATCCAGCTTTTCACGGAGAACAAGAATGGAATACTTCTAAGATTCTCAAACACATAGTATTTGAGTTTTACATTAGTTTTTAAAAAATAAGCCGTTTTTTAAAATTTTAAAAGCTGCAAGTCTCTCTAGATAGGAGATGAAGCCAATATTTTTATATCATTCTACTCGCCATAATAGCACGAAAAAAGTTACATATCGGTTTTGGAAAATATTATTCCGTTGTTGAGTAAATTAATTTTTTTGAAACAGGTAGCAAGAAACAAGGAATTTCGCTTGTGTTTTGCAGTTTTCATTGTTAAACTCCCATTTTTCTGCAAAACCAATGTCATATTTGAAATCAGCAAAGGCTGAATTGATTGATATGTGTTTCAGGATTGTTGGACAACTTTCATTTTTCCGCAAAAATCTCGATCGAAAAGTTCGAAATTTGTTATGAGCATATGTCTAGCAGTTTACTAACGATATGTTGAATGGCTGTTGAATAGGTTGAATGTTTTTTGTATAAAAAACGCTTCAACTATTTTTTGTATTTTATATATAAGTGTATATATATGCTTGTTTATAATATTGTTCGTGGTGCCATAGAAAATAAAATTTTTGTTTATTGCGACGCGTTTCGTTTTATTTAAAAATAAAACTCATCAGGCAATTTTTTGATCTAAAACACATACAAAAATAAAAAAATAATAAAAATAGAAAATAAAAAAAAAAAATTTTTAAGATAAAAAGTATCAGACACACACATACACACACACACAAAAAGAAAATGGAAAAGGACTTTATGCCCGAAAGTGACTGTCTTAACGGCATCACACAGACACGCAGGCATAAAATGCAATTTTTAATTGTTGCTTTTATCCCGATGTTGTGGTTGTTCGTTTCCACCGAGACGCTCCAAATCGTCTGCCAAATCCTCCATGTCCGATGACTCATCTGTGCGGATGAGTTCTGCTACATGGTTCGGTGGTCCCTCATCACTATCATTGCCATCTTCTTCTGGAAGTGATGAAGCGGATTGTTGATGTACGTTTTGTTCCTGCTCCATTACCATCATATTTATGGTTACCACTCGTTTTTTCCGCTCACGTCGTTTTCGATTTAACAACGTTTTGCGTTGCTGACGTTGATGCGTCAAAGTTGAGTGCCTGACTGGCGTGGCTGCTTTTGAGCTCGCCGGACGTGCACGTTCGTATGGTGCTGAGTGATGCTTGTCGGCTGTCAATCGTGATTGACTCGCTGACTCATCTCTCTGGCAGTGATAATGATGATGCTGCTGACGTGATGAGAAATGGTGCTGCTGCCGATTGTAGTCGGTAACGATTCCATATCCGACCGATCGGTCATACGGAGCTACCCTGATTTCCCGACGATTTCGACTCGAGTCTGCTAAAACTTTGTCGTCTCGGCGGTATTCAGAGCTGCGGCTGTATGAGCGATCCTTCCAAACTGGCTCGGCTTTGAACCTATGGGACCTATCAATTGTATATCCGGATTGGGCATCCGGAGCACAGATGTTAGGTGGAGCACCGTCAGAGTAGAAAGCCTGCGAGTTTGGCACCCAAAGACCAAAAATCCCACTTCCGTCTTTATACAGACGAAAATTACCAGCCGACGTTGTACGGGCTAGTTCAGTGCTGGTCCAGATGACTGGATCAGCGCCTGACCTTTGTATCAGTTGTGCGGCTTGAAGTGGAACTGTAGGGTCCCTGGTGTCGATGGTAAACACCTCACTGAGCATGTCAAGAAGCTGGATGGCGAATGTGCTATGGGTCTGGAGTCGTTCAGCATCAAAATGTTCATAACGCCAGGCGAAACGGAAATGATCTCAAAAGCCAATTGTTAAGTCTAGAGACTTCTTGCACTAGTCCTATGTTTAGTTCCTTTTCTTTTCTTATTTTCGCACGTATCAAGGCACGGGATTGTCTTCTCACATGTCAAGACACGAGCTTCTCTTTCTTTTTG